TGTCCTTTTTGCTCGTGTGCCCAGGCTTCAGACATGGGCTGATCCAGTGTGTCTAACTGCCCCCTATTGGTTGAGCAGTTGGCCTTCTGGGTGATGGATGAACCGCTAAGCGAATCACGCGTCGAGATTCCGTCCAAATTGCCAGAGGGAGGGGAGGGCGGGGCACAATAATCTGTAAATGCATTCGCACTAAGTTTCTAATGAAGAGCCTCTCCACACATCAGCCCCCAGATCTCCTGGAAACGCAGACCGCACGTCTGAAGATAGCACGAGGATTCCTCCCAGCTCCATCCCAAGGTGAACCCAATATCACGCCGGTTCATGTAAACAACTCCACAGGACACAAGTCAGTGCAGGGGATCTCATTACATCATTACCATCAAAATATATGCAGAATGTTGGTGAAATTCACCTGTCGTTATTATGCAACCCTCAGCTCATCCATCCATCATTAGTCTTTATCACGCTGGTTTTGCTTGTGGAAGCACAGGGACACATTACAGACGTATATTGCAGCGGGAAGCCTGTTTGTCATCATTAAAATGCCTTATCATTGCTATAGTTACAGTTATTATGATAGTAATTGCCCTACAGTGGGCTGGCATCCCATCCAGAGTGTTTTCTGCCTTGTTCCCAGTGCTGCCTAGGATAGACCCCAGGCCACTCCTAAAGTCCTGTACTGGAGAAATGGCTGGAAGATGGATTGATGGATGGATGGATGGATGGATGGATGGACGGATGGGTGGATGGACAATAATTATTTCAGTAATTGTTTTAGATATTCTGTTATGAAATGCAGTTTTTTTGGTGGGGGTCACTGCTTGGGGATTATATTACAATATGAGAGGCAGATGGAGATGCTCGGTTTAACTGCCCTGTTTGAAATCACTCATGGAAATAGGCACTGTGTATTTAATTTATGGATGTTGCCACAAGAGCCCCACTGTTTTACACCACAGGGACACCAGCTGTCTTTCTGGGAGAGTCAAGCATGATTTAGCATCCAACTCCCTCAAAGTTAGGCCTTAAATTGTGAATTTTTAATTTGACGTCTGTTTGTTTGGCCTGCAGGTTTCGCAAACAAACCATCTCCGATCTCACCTGATGCTGGATACCTCAGTAACATGGCTGTGCAGAATCTCAGCTTCAGCTGCACGGACGTTTTTCATTGGCCAAGCACTGGCTTCCTTTGCTGGTGTCCAGCTCCTCTTCCCGTCGGTTTCCTTCATCTTCTCCATCTCTGGCAGCAGCGTCCTTCTGCTGGCATGTTGATTCAAGCATGATAAGAATTTTACAATTAAAGCGAAGCACAGAAACTATCCAGTGGTTTAAAGACATATGTTTTCAGAGACTTATCGTACTAAAAAAGTGCGAGGGAAATGACAGCCTTGTCAGACAGCGCTCAGTACAGCTTCTAGAAGGAGTCGGGTTATTGCTAAAGTACACAGTAATTTTCACTAAAACCGCAACACTCCCTGCCACTTTGCAGTTCACATCTGGGACATTTCACTGCACTACAATTATATTTTCCAAGATGGCTGAACGATGACCTGCAAAAGGGTCTGGTGAACAATAAACTATCTGGATTCTGCACCTGTTTGGGATTTAAAGGCTGTCCAGCTGAGCTAATGAGCTTTTTGCCCAAACTGACGCACGACGGGGGGGGGGGCGCGTCTTGCCATTACAGCCCCTGAACACCATCACCCTCTTTTCAACACACAAAATCATTTTAAGAGCCGTAATTCCCAGCAATTAGCAGCTGAGCCATTACTAATGAGGAACTAATAACCATTATTGCCCCGTTGCCAAAGAAAGCCTTTTGGGCAGAACATTCACTCTGAGAGGGCTTTGGATGACATACCGCTGATGTCACTGATCATGTGACACTTTCACTTCTTTACATCACACATGTTATACAGTGATGACTTCTCACCGTGGTTGCCACGGGTTTCATTCACATGGATGGCACACTGACAATTCCAAACACGATTTCAAGAGACCGGGCTCCCATGTTTACCTTTTTACTGGTTACATCCCAAAACAAGTACCCTCTGCAAATCCTCTATGTGAAAAAGGATTCACTCCCTCCGCATAATGTCTTTTGGGCATTTGAGCCAATTTTTTGTGTTGCTAACCCTTTTCCAGTAGTGTGTGTGTGTGTGTGTGTGTGTGTGTGTCTTGAACTGCCATTTGAGAGCAGCCCTAGCAGGAATCACTGAACGTTGTGTACCAGACAGGGTCTCAGCAACTTTCCACATCCTTAAAGGTACAAAAAAATGGCTTTTCTCTCTGGGCATCCCTCTTACAGCCTCCCCCTGCAGATGGGGACCGGAGCACCTCCGTGTTTCTTAAACGGCAGGTTTTTTCTTCTGAGTTACTTTACTGCCGCCCTGAAGATGAATTATAGCGTGGAGTCTCAGTGAGTAACACAATTTACAGCTTCTGGCAGTAATTACTGCCATACAATAGGTCTGCTGTATACTACGGCTGAAATTCAAAACAGAAATAGCACATAAGCTTATGAGCTTATAAGTGTATAAGTGACAAATGGCTCGCCTGATTTTATTTCTGTTGCTCCTTAAAACTGGGCATTATCTCGTTAAATACAAGTCCAGCTGTTACTGCTGCTGTCTGCCATTTTAGCAGCTGTTTTCTCTGATACGTTCCGGTCCCTGTGAAACCAAAAACCAGAGTCATCCGGTGCTGATGTGGGAAACGAAATAATTGATGCTTGCCACAAATGCAGGGATGGCTCTTGGGAGTTTTACTTACACACAAAATGTTCCGAGGGCAGAAGGAAAAATGATTGGTTCAGAGAGATAACCAATGAAATTGTAGAGGAGGTGGGTCCAAGCAACTAAAGGAGGCAGGACCAAGACATCTGATTGGACCCACCTCCTCTACTATCTGATAGGTTATCTCTCTGAACCAATTATTTTTCCATATTCCCTCAGAACACGTTTGTGTAAGTAAAACTCCCATGAGTGATGGGATGTGGGCTTTGAAACACAGTGGGCGGGGCCGTCACAAGCTACCGACAAAATAGCCAACAGAAAATGGACTAAGCTATTCTGTTACTGACAGCCTACAATAACATCGCCCATTGTGCTGATCAAAACCATTTGCAATAGCTGCACACAGCAATCAATCTCTCACCCTTACAACACCCATAAAGTACTCTTCTAAGGTGCTACACCAGGTTATGCAAATTTTCAGTGAAGCTTGGCATTTTTCATGAAAGAAACGCTGAATCTTAATAAACCTGGGAAAATCATTAAATACGAGTGTCAGACTTTTACTAAAGAGACATAGCTGGACACGTTTCTCCATCCATCACCAAAGTTTCGAGTCTAAGAAAACCACAGCTAATGCGTTAGCCGCCTGTCAAAATGGCATGTAATTGGTTTATTTAAATCAGCCACCGAATAAATAAACGCATGAATTAATAAAGCTGCCTGTCCTTCTTTACCGAATTAACCCAGCACTCTGTGGTTCTGAAATGTTAATGGTTAGGGGCCGGGGGCATCGAAACCTGCCAGTCGATGTTTTGACAGCATTAATTTTCCCGCTGCTTTATGGGCGGTGAAATTACCGTGTTCATTTTTATACAATGGGAAAATAGGAGGAAAAAAAGCACGGGTGAAAGCACTGACCTCACAGTACCGCAGAAGTACATTAATGAGTCTTGTGGGTATACTCTTTGTGTTTTTGCCTGTTGGAAGTTCTTCACGCAGAATCGGCTAACTTTGTATGGCTGTTGCGATGGACCCTAGAGTTAGGAGTGAAATGCAAGACTGGGAGCCTAAATAAATCTGAGAGGGAGCATTTTCTGACAGCCCTGAATCTTAGGAGGCACCCTTGATGGTTAGGGAAGTCACACAAGTCCCCAAGCACACGCCACCACGTTACGTCACCATAATGTAGATCGGCAACAGCCCTCCTGCACCCGAGAACTGTGTCCCCAGCGCGAAGCCCCCCCCCCCCGTGCCATGCTGAAGCTCTTGCCAGGTATGGGTGATCCATCACTCGGCTGTTGCTGCCAAGATTAACGACAAACAGCGGCCCCTGTCACTCCCACCTGCTGTCCCTAGGGGGCGCCCCTGATTGTTCATTAGGGCCAGCTGGGCACAGGTGCAGCAGACTGGAACGACTATTAAAAATGGATCCACTCAGCGGGGAGGGAGGCGGGAGACGGGAGGCGGTTAGCTGAAAAGGTGCTTTGATGCTTATTTGCCTCTGCTTCCAGGATTGCAGTCATTGAAACACCATATAAAAGTCTCAAAAAACAAGCAGCACCCCGATTCAGAGTGCCTGAGCCGACACGACTTGACACCACGGTCCCACAGCACATCAGTCACCCTCGGGAAGAATCGATAACGGATGACCTCATCAGGCCGAGTCCGGTTCAGCCTGGACAAACCACTGCCAGTGTAGCTGAGATGCCATCAAATTCTGAAGCCTAGGGCCACGTCACGCTCCTCTGCCCCGCGACAGCGGCCTCTGCGTGTCACGGAGGCTGCCGAACTTTGAGCAGACAGACCCTGCCCCCTGCGTGCAGAAAATGAAGGGTTTTGGGGTCCCACGGTCCGATGGTAGGAGAATTAGAGAGACAGGCACATGGGCAGAGAGGCGAAGCCCACAATCAGTGCTGCGCAAAGCCGCACGCTGAGCCAGTCATCCAGCGTCACCCGCTCGCTGCCCTTCTATGCCTAATTACAGGGCTGCGGTTGGCATTAAGTTACAGTCAGTCAAACATGTGTTCACAATGTTGGCAGCATCACAGCCTAAGTCAGCAAGATCACAGAACCGATATCGAAGTATGAATTAGCCCGCGTTTATTCTTGCGCTGTAGTCGGCCATCTTGGCAGCCATTTTGCCTGGCCTGTATGTAGGCCACGACAGCTTTGCTTTGTTCTTCCTGCTCATCCCTAGCCAGCTCCCCCGTACATCCAGGAGAGCCATGTCTGCGACAAGATTAGTCACGCAACCATAGTTCCCCCACCCCTCCGGGGTAATGTGCTGCAGCCCCAGTGCTGGGCTCTACTGGCTCAAACCACTGTGACCGGAGCTGCCTGACCTGGGGGGTTTCAGATCTTCTCTTTAATGCTTTTACATTCTACTCCCCCTGAGAAACAACACAGATTATGTACTTAACTTTTTCCCTTTCTTGCACCAGCGTTAAAAATGCATCCACTGTGTGTGGCATTAAAAGCATATTGCATAAGCTGCTAAATATACCTCACCTGGGCACTGACTGTTCCCGTTCCAGCTTCTCACACGAGCTGCCACCTTCCTCGCCTCATCGCCCGGGTTACGCACACAGCAGTCCGCAATCGCACCGCCGCCATGTGGTGGCCTTTGTAAGGAGGTGCTGTGGGACACCATGATGACAGGCAGGATGATGAGAGATTAAATGAATAATAGATCAAATAAATTAATGGATCGATGAATGACTTATTGATTGTTTGACTGGTTGGTCAATTATTTGGTTGGTAGGTTGATTGATTGATTGGTCAGTTAGTTGGTAGGTTGGTTGATTGATTGATTGATTGGTCAGTTAGTAGATTGGTAGGTTGATTGGTTGATTGATTGATTGATTGATTGGTTAATACAGCATCTTCTGCTTCTCTCATCACAAAGATTGTTTCAGCATCTCACTTGTACCTCGCCATCATGTCGCATGCCTTTATTTCCGAAAAGTAAAAGCACTCTCCAGCAAATCCCTAAAATACCTCGTTCAGTGGTGCTGGTCGCCCCCTCACTTCTCACGCCCCATTGTCTTGGCTTTCAGTGGTATCTTATGGATACAGTGGCATGGGGTGCAGATTAAACAGAACCAAAGTGGGCACAACGTTTTTTTTAATCTACGTTTGGAGAATTAACCACAAGAGGGTGAAGGGCATGCTGTTGTGTGTGTGTGTGTGTGTGTGTGTGTGGTTGTGTGCTCACCCCCCTCCCAGCCCAACCATTAGTTAAGACTCCATAGACTATGGACCCCCCCCCACAGAAGACTCCTGTTGGGTTGAAACATCTCTGAACAGCTGGTCCATTGTTTTCTACTCTGATTCAGTGGCCATTTTAATGAGCGCCAGCCTGCTTTGCTTTCATCTTCAGCCTGAAAATTGTCTGCTGGCATCCAGGAGTCAGGTACTAAAGC